TTTTCTGTTTATTCTCAGTGACATAAAATCTGAAGGTCATTGCCTTGGTGATCCCTTCCTAGAAAGCATTTTTTCCAGAATACATGTACCCATGCCATTGCTGTCCTTGAAAAGCAAGATCCAACAGTGAGAAGCTTGCATACTCCTGAATTGCCTGCTATATCTCCTATTTTACATTTTTTACACACACAAACAATTGCTGTCTCCCTTTGGAGACAGGATTTTGCTGATTCTCTGTCCTAAGAGCTCTGGATGTGCATACTGCTCACATAAGCACAACTACTTCAAACGGGTCAAATATATTCTGAAACTGCAGGTTTTATGAATATTTCATGAATAGCTTAGTTAGAATTTTAGGTTTCAAGAAAATTGGGTCAAACATGCCCAGTCTGAGTGTTTTGCTTGCTTAAAATCTGAACACCCGGATACATTTTTCAAAGCTGAACAAGATGTACGTATGTATGTAGTTTATGTAGTCTGTTGTGAGCAAAGGAATGTTAACTTGCAGTGTTCTGAACTGGAATATTCTGTGGAAAAGCCCCCACAGCCCAGCTGCGCTTCTGACTTCATAGCTGTTTTTGTTTAGTGATTTTGTTTACCACTTAATGTTAATTCATTTACCATTAGAAGGGAGAAGAATCTACTGCCTTGGACGACTTACCCTGTTTCTAAATTTTCAGTGTTTCACTTGCCAAGTCCTTAACTTATTGTTGTCTTTATACGTTAGTGTTGGGGCTGAAGTGTTCCATCAGGTGTTGCCTCCCCCTTGTGCTTATAGAACTTGGCTGCCTTGAAAGCCTTTACTACCTCTACAGCCTTAGCTGCTAGGTTTATCCAATTAGCTTTACCCAGTTAAGAGGGTTTCAGTTATAAAAATGAAGAATGTGTGTTGCTGAACTACCTGGCTGCACCAGGCTCTAGTGAAAGGAAATCTAGGTCAGTTGAGTCCCTGGGATGGGGAGTTTTATCAGGGGAGTAAACCGTGGTTGGGGATTAAAGAGGACATAGTTGGAGGCTGTCTGGAAATGCAAGCAGCTGAATCACCATGAAGATGACTTACTGTACCATTTTCTAGCTGCAGTCTTTAGAATAAAAAATTGAACTAAATGCTAAACTCTCACAGTGGAGTGAAGTCTGCACCTAATTTTTATAAATTGCAATTAAAGACAGTAGACTGATCCTACTCTGACTTTTGTCTGAAAGCTAAGACTTTTAGATTACCTTTTTGTGCATAATCGATCTTTTCTGAAAATCAGGACTACATTGTGGACAGGTGGTGCTGGGGGACTATGGCTCTGTGCCATGGCAGCTATGCTGTGGAGTTCCGCAGGGGTCCATTTTGTTCCCTTTGCTGTTTAATGTCTACATGAAACCGCTGGGAGAGGTCATCAGGAGGTGTGGGCTGCGGAATCATCAGTACACTGATGATACCCAGCTCTACCTCTTGTTTTCCACCAATCCAGGTGAGGCAGTGGCTGTGCTGAACCAGTGCCTGGCTGAGGTAATGGGCTGGATGAGGGCCAATAAACTGAAGCTCAATCCAGACAAGACGGAGGTCCTTTTGGTGGGTGGCTCGGGCCTCGGGATGGGGGACTTGGGCCTTGTCCTA